CTAAAGGATTCGACAACGCCTGCTGTGGTACCCAAAGCTACCATAAAGGAAGTAAAATCTGTTGCGCTGGGAGGCTGCAGTCTAAAGGATTCGACAACGCCTGCTGTGGTACCCAAAGCTACTATAAAGGAAGTAAAATCTGTTGCGCTGGGAGGCTGCAGTCTAAAGGATTCGACAACGCCTGTTGTGGTACCCAAAGCTACTATACAGGAAGTAAAATCTGTTGCGCTGGGCGGTTGTACACAAGGGGATTCAGCAACAGTTGTTGAATTTCTTAGAGCTAGAACTAGACATAACATTGATGTTTTTCATAAACTTACAGATGTAATAGTTGAAACTGGAACCTCTTTTTGTATACAACATTATGATCGACCCACACTCCCAACTCCCCATTCTTGTTTTTACTTATTTTGGCGATAAATATACATTGTATATCGAATTGGAAACGATTATTTTACTTACTCCCACTAAATGTCTACCGCTCCTTGTTCTTACAAAGATTATCCGACATCTAAATAAAAGTTTTTCAAAAGATGGGCTTGAGAGGTTTTTGCTTTTAATATTAGATCTTGGATTCTATTTACATAGACTGAATATCGATCTATTCAAGTCTGTTCCGTGACGGGTTCGGTATTCGCTTCGCTGATGTCATCAAGGTCGTCGTTTGTTTCCACAATAGTGTCCGGAGATGAATCGGCGTCCTCATCATCTGCATCGGTCTTTAAAGGTATCGCGCTGTCCAAAATCTGCTCTGTTAACTCTGAGTCTGTAGTTTGAGGATCTAGAAATTAAGAAAACATGAATGAATGATAATGAATCTCATAAAATTGCTAAGAATAGATGACACCCCAGTACCGAGGAGCAGATGCATAAATTTTTAAAGGGGGGGAGGCATCTTTGAATTTTGTATTGGTCTGTCAGATTTTTGTCTGAATTATGCAGATCACAGGGGTGGATCCAGGATTTTCCTCAGGGAGGGGTGCGGGCACTTAGTAGGGGATGCACCCCACAAAAAATCATTACCATGAAGATACAAAATAAGGAAAGTATTGAAGGATACAGATCTCAGGGGGGCAGGAGGTGCGCACCCCCTGCACCCGCCAGCTTGATCCGTCCCTGGATCATAGGTGAATATGTACTTCTATATGTATTCAAGCAGGAGTTTCCCAGGGGGAAGGGGGGCTGAGCTCATGCAATACATGTAATGTAGAAAGCACAAACCTAAAACAAATTAAGAAATTGACTAAACCCCACCTGTTCGTTTTAAGTCGATTTGTTCCGATTCATGTTTTATGTCGATGACTTTAACTTTTTTCTTGGGTGCCTCAGCACCAGTGTCGTGTGCAGCTCGCCGCTTCTGCTCTGGATCTCGACTGTAATCTTCAACCTGCGGCGAAATTGATGACTTTGTTAGTGACTGAATTCCGTCCTTACATTCATATCAGTCAGGACTATGCAAGACAGGATTTTGTCCAAGACAGAGTTTTCCGTCTTTGATTATGAATTCACCTATTATTGCTGTACTACACAAACATTATTGCTATCATTATTAACACTTTCATCATCATCATCACTTTCATCATCATCAAAAGTGCTGACCTCTGTTGTTCCCCACTGTGGTTCTTCAGGATCATCTATCTCTGGAGCCACCGGCAAATACATCAATTGGTCCAATTCTTCATCATTTTCCTCATCACTTTGAAACAAATAGAAAACTTCATAAAAACTTCATTTTAGTCTACATATTACAAACACCTTTAGACCTATGACAGACAGTCTGTTGAGGTCTTTCAGTGCACTTATATGTTCCATTCAGGAATTATTTGCTTCTAGTTCAAAACAATTGTAGTAATTTTTGACAAAAATTGAAAACCAAAACCATTGTGCTTTCATTTTTTTATTTGGTCTTAATGCACAAGTGTTTGTTGTCAAAAAAACATGCCATCTCTTTCAGAACAAAGGTTACCTGCTACATAAAGCTGGTATTCTTTCAACACTGGTAACATCTACTTCTTCTTCCTCCCCGGCCTCACTTTCTGAGTGCAATTCTTCTTCTTTATCTTCATCTTCCTGAAGTAGCAATCAATCAAAAACAGTCATGGCATAAAATACAATTAAGCTGAAAACTGTATTTTATTAGATTTGTATTAAGTGTTTTATATGATCTCCTATTCTGTGGAGGATTGGGAAGGGAGGGCAATTCCCACCCCACCCTCTTGACAAATATGTGACACCCCCTGAGAAATTTTGTGATCTTCCTTTGCACTTTGATATTATTCCCTCTATTAAATTTTACATTTTCTCTAATTTATCATTTTTGAATGACTTACAATATCAAATTCACTTTCTTTTTCTTCATATTCAACATTCTCATCCAGTTCTTTAAAATCAGGAGCAAATGCACTCCAATTTTCCTGTTAGTAAAATCAAGTCAGTTACATTTTACATTTCCTGCACAGTTTCACTAAGTATAAAATGATTAAGATTAAGATCTTTTAAGGAAAATCACACATACCACGTGGTTCTGCGCCCAAATGGAGACAACTCCACTTGATATTGAACAGATTATTGGTCGAATGGGATGCCACTAAAATATAGGGAAACAATGAGCATATTAATAATAATAATTTTAGGTTTAAAGATGGCGGGGCGAGATGGCAAAGTAGGGGCGAGATGGTGGGGGCGAGATGGAATAGTGGGGGCGAGATGGTGGGGGCGAGATGGCAATGGGGCGAGATGACCGGTAACGGCTGGGAGAGCAGAATTATGTCTTACCACAACATCAAGTAGTAGTTCTCCTTTAGTTCCATGGAGGATCTTAACAAGGTTTCCTACTCCCTTTTCCCATATGTACAGAGCATGAGTTCGTGCAGAACCTTAAAACAATGAATTATATAACGCATATTTATTTTTTTTCAAACTGAAGCAAGATGATATTTAGTATTTACCTGCACAAATGAATTCACCATCTCCAGAGAAACAACACTTTTTCCATAATGTTCTATGTTTAGAATAAATAGTATCTAATTTAAAAGGATCATCATGGCGTTTTCCTGCATTCTGGTATATTATACATTGCTAACAGGGTTCTCGGTAGAAGCCGGCAGCTGGTGAAAATCGCCAGTTATAGTTAATCACCAGCTACTTATGAATTTATTCGCAAATTATTTGGCTGTACTTTTCCTATTTTGACGGGTACTTTTCCTATTTTGACGTCTATTTTTATTTCTACTGAGAACCCTGTGCTACAAAATCATTATTAATTAAAAGTATGTCTACCTGTTGACCAGGTCCTGTAGTTTCTGAATTGGTTCTGGTTCTGCCCCTTCCTGGTCCTTACAGGCCAGGACAATTTGATGATCAAAAACTCTTATGATCCTATCTTGGCAGTTAATCAAGAAAGCACTAAAAATGACAGATACATTAGTATTCATATTAACACTACTCCAGAGAAACTAAGTACACAAGATACATGTGTACATCTATGAATGCTTGATTTATTTTACCTTCCTCTTCTAGCAAACTCAATTGCCTTGATTGCTGTGTTGGCGCTTGTACCAGTTTGTATTCTGAATGAAGTTATAATCTACAATTTAATAATACACAATTATTATTAATTGACTTAATGACGATAACAGTACAAAGAAGGACATTAGATAAACATTTTGCATTACCTGTCTTGTTCTCGCATCAATGACCATCACCTGAAAGACACAATCAAGGCATGAGAGCAAATGTAACTGGTAGTTTATGATAACTGTGCAACATTACTTGCTATTTATTCAAATTTATCTTACTTTGCCTTTGGCATTTCCTGAATAAATATATTCTCCCCGTCGATCAAATGATGCCACTATGTTATGTTCAGACTGAAACAAAAATGCAACTAAATGTAACAAATGTTGTGAGAATATAATGAGAGGTAGACCATACGCTACTGCAGTTGTTGCTTTTATTTTTCTCAAGCTTTCGCTGGACACCAGCATCATCAGGGAAGTAACAAATGTTGTATATCATATCTAAGTTTGCGTATCCTTGTTCATGCAAAATGTTGTGGTTATCGTGGCAACAGGGAAGAAAATGTACTCACCTCACCCCCTGTGGGTAAGACAAAGTGATTTCCCTGCAAGTTAACTAGCACTGGTCCTTGTTTGGTGGGGCATACTAAAATTTCATTACTGAAAAAGAGGGAGGATTAAAGAATATTAAAAAAAACTTCAACAGTAAAATACAAGAGAAAAAAATTATTAATAGTTATTGAAATAGGATCAGTTATAAAGCAGATGATAATAAATTAGCATGAATTATGATATTTTACATACTTGTTTCTGGGATGGAATTGTACTTTTGATATTGGTGACTGAAATCTGTATTTTTGATCACACTCGCCAGTTAAAATATCCCAAACTGAAACATTCCAGTCTGTTGATCCACTTAAGAGTTTCTTTCCATTACGACTCCAACTGAAATAAAGAAATTCAAGAGACAGATGAAACACAATCCCATTATAACAAATAACAAATTGTACACAATGTAATAGGAAATCTCATTTTCAATCATTGATTCAAGTGTAATTAAAAAATGTCTGCTGGATCAAATGACAGGCTTTGCATACTCTGCATCACAGATGTACACAATTTAGAACACTAATGTTTAATCCATCAGTGTTGCCTGTGCAATATATCAGCATGCACAGGCTCCTCCTATCCTGTTACTGCTCATCTTGTTGCTCTTCAATGTGGGAATTACATAATACTTCAAAATGTAAACATGTATATGATGATTATAAAATATGATTTTCATACCTAACAGATGTAACAGGGTGAACATGTGCACTGATAATTTTGGCAATCCCTCTGGTGAGGAAGTCCCAAATTACAACACGTCCATCATTGCATCCCACAGCAAGAAGAGATCCACGTCGATTGAATGAAGCTGTTAGTGCAACACTTACTGAATCCAAAGCTCCATCATATTCCTGGAAAAACATTATATAGTGTATGTAAATTTCAAATTGGTACAATTGATACGATTCTAGATTCAGAGGATAACCAAACATGACTTTCTCTATAGAATTTCCAAAGAGCTCATGTTTTGAGACCTTTTCTCGTGTGATAAAAGAGATCAAAACATTCAGTTTTAAAGGTTAGCTCCTGGTTCTGTATGTTGCGTTGTTAATGTTTAAGACATCTACTAGATTTGATTCTTTTCATAACAACAACTAACTTGTCTTTAGAAATAGATTCACACAAAAAAACAATTTACCTCAGGATAACTTTGTCCAAATGTCTCTAAATGAAGAAAATACAATGTATGAGTATTAATAGATAGAAATTGTTAATTGCCTGAGTAATCGGTCAAATAGAAGGGTGAAAATACTCACGTAGTAATTCTAAATTCATTGTTGTTTGTTGTTTCTTTTCTTTCTTCTTGTCAAAAGGTTTATTCAGAGTCAGCGGTTATCTGATAAGGTATATGCGCACGCATATAATTTTAGAAGTGGCCTCTGGAAACAGGCGCGAAAATCACTGGCGCAATGTCAAGATGGCGTTATAAATAATATTTATCTTTTTTTCCAATATATACTGTATCCTAATTACTAATTCGAGATGGAAAAGAGTGAAAGAAATGGTTCAAGTACCACAGAAAAATCTAAAGTTAATTTTCCTGGAGAAGTTGCGCAAAACATAGAATCTTCAACTCCTTCAACATTGGCATGTTTTCAAGAAGTTCCATCTAACAGTAGTAGATCTGACAGAGATGCAGTCGTTCGTCAAAAAACGCCAATAAACACAAATTTAGAGGAACTGTCTTCAAGAATCCCTATACAAACAGACACAAGTGAGAACCGTTATGAAACTTTGAAATCTGGTCCAGAAGAAATGGATGCTGTGAAGGGCTTTGATAACCCATCTAAATGTTCTACTCAACTCCAAAAAACTTCGAATGATAAAAATAACATTGTTGGATTTCATCAAGGACTACCTGCAGTAACAAACATGACAACAAATTTTCCTAAACGGATTACATCAGTTTCTAATTCAACAACGACCAACACAAGTATTAAATCAAGAGTTTTGAAAGTAAATCAAGAAACACTAGGGGAAACACCTAGTACAGACAGAAGTATTCCAACTACTTCAAGATTTCCTCAAAAAGCAGAGGATGCTTCAAGTGATGTCAGTTTGAGAACAACAGCAGTCACAAATATCACAGTGTCTGTTAGTGATTCATCTTGCACAGGAGTTATTCAAGGACCAACTGTACATAAATTATCAAACACAGAACGGAGTGAAACAACTGGTATTGCTCACAAGAATTCTAATTTGAATGAATGTCAAGGACCAACCATAACACCACTGATTAAAAGTAATGAAAATCCATCAGTATTGATGAGAAGCAAAGAAAGTAGTATATCAGCTGCAGCAGCTACTCATGGGAGAGAAACAACAAAACCTCCATGTGACGCCACAAATGTTGCAACATGCAGTCATAAAAGTCCTTTGAACTCTAATCAAGTAACTCTTGCTGGAGATATAAACCAGCCAGCTTGTGATGTACCTCCTACTTTTACCAATGTGACAAGTCAAAACACTAGCAATGAAACATCCTTACCAAGACCTGGAGATAAGAGAAAATTAACTGAAAAAACACCTCAGTTGAATATTGAAAGAGATCAGGATTTAGCAACAGAGAAGACTGTGGATGGGAATGGAAATCCTCCAAAGAAAACTAAGAAAAGACATGTACCAGACATGCATGTAGAAGCAGAATGGAGCCTAGATGAGCAGAAGAAACTCCTTGAAGCCCTACAAACGTAATCAAAATTGTTATCATTAGTTTTACTAACTTGACCAATCTTCAGAGCATGATTTATATAAGAATATGTTAAGTTAAATCTTAATAGTTTTTTTGTATTTATTGTTTATAACATAGTGATAAAGGTAGAAGATGGTGGGGCCGACTTGCTGCAAATGTTGGTACAAAAAATGTTGACCAGGTGAATACGGCATTGATTGTTGGTAATATTGTATCATCATGTAGTGAAAGAATACTTTTATTAATGTACAAATCATAATGAATTATTTTTCTGATATGAAACCCTAGGTGAAACACTACATGGAAATACTCAGAGCTCAAACAACTGGTAAGAATCTGGTTGATTGTCCTGCAATACTTTCCAATAAGTTGCCAAGTTCAAAAAGACAATGACAAGGCAAAGTAATAGGCTTGCTTTATATACATTGTTGTTATCTTTTAAGAGAGAAATGATTATTTCATTGGTTGCTGATAACATTATATTTTTTTTCTTTATAAGGTACACAACCTATTCATCTTGAAGAGGTTGATAATCCATTGCAGGTACTTCTACAAGTCAAGATTAATCTCAGTACTAAATACATTTGTTCAATTATTACACTATGTACACAACATTTTTGAACAACTTCATAGATACTATGGTAATCCTTTTGTGTTTTTATTCAGGCATGGATACTTGCTTGTGAACGGCTTATTAATTGCCAGGATGATGTTGATGCCAAGTGTATTCCACAGGTGCAATTTGTTTTTTTGTTTTTTTTTTCGAATATTACCATTTTTCACTTTATCTGAGCTTTCTATCAAAATCCCACAGGTAATGACAATAGCAGCTGTTGAACCCTCATCTTTGCAAGGTAATGTGATAAAAATAATTACAATAAAGATTATAATATTATCATTCTGTAATAATAATGTTTATTTCACTGTAGGACCAGCAACAGGTCCTAACTACAACAGAATTTACACTTTTCTAAGTGGTGTTCTTAGAGGTCAACCAGCAGTTGCATTGTCCCCAGTTGGTAAGTAAAGATTTGTGCAAACTGTTTGATGATACAAACCGAATATGAATAAATCTTTTCAGATGCAAAAGTGGTGTTGGAACTCCTGCACAGTCTGGAAATCAAAGTATCTTCAGTCAATTCATCAGAGCAGGTCAACTTTCTTAGAACTAAATTCAAAAACATCACCACAGATCTTGAACAAGAACAATTTATGTTTGCTATTGAAGAACTTCAACATGAGATCAAGCAAGGTGAAGTTCAAAGAGCCCAGGGTTCACACAGTAATTCAGATGCTCAGAAACCAATAGAAAGAGATGCAAGGAACAGCAGAAGAAGCGAACATTCTACAGGGCAGTCATCACTTAATCCAATCAATGTGCCAGTCTCACTTTTGAACTTGGTAAACAAAAGTAAACCATCACAAAAACAATAAGAAAAATAAAAGCATTCATTATCCAGTATGTATATTCATTTCTTCTGACACATGGTAATATTTGTAAGAGAAGGATTTGTACTGTGATGTTTTGGACATGTACATGTAAAGGTCACTTTTTTAGTATATTTGAAAGAAAGAAACAACATATCTATTTTCATTAAAGATGCATTTTTTTATTATTATTTACACAACATGCTATTGTATTTACAATGTACAGGCTATTTTTTGTTTCCTTTGTGGTTTTGGGTTGCTATATCCACAGGGATCCCAAATGTCACAGAAATAAAAAGGTCTTCAGAGGACTGGCCTGATGTTACAAATATAACTAGGGTTATTATAGTATTTTCACAGTTATTTCTTATTTCTTCAAAATATCCATGATTAAAGGCATTATTTCAGTAATTACTGAATGCATGGTTTTATAATATTAATCACTGCTCCAATTACTTGATAAAATCATATTAAAATGTGTATGAGCCCTTAACACTGAGAGTAAGGCTGAGATTAATTATTCTGATATCAATGATTAAATCAAAATCTAATTTCATGTATATTCATATTTTACTGGCCACTCTCATCAGCTTAAAGATGGATTGCTTGAATAGAGGCCAGATCGTTCAGTTTGATCAAGTATTCTTTGTAAATTGGTGTCAAATAATTCACACCTAGAATATGGAAACAACAATATCAATTACCCTTCGTATACATTTGTGCTCCTAGTTGTGTTACAAACCTTATTGGCATATCTAGCGAGTAGAATGGGTTTTTCAGTGCAAAGTCCCCATACAATTCATAGATTTTTCGTAGTAAGCCCTCAGTATTCATTTGCTTAGGATCAGTTAGAAGAATAAACTTTAAACCTGAAACAAAGAAACACTTTGTATTAAGCTGTATTGCTTCTATCACAGCTGTAATGGACATAAATTGTACATCTACACAACATTTTTGGGATGAGATTAAGTTAACTGCCACTCCAAAATGACCTACAATATCAACAAGGGAAATTATTATTACCTGTTTGGGACTGGAAGCAGTGAAGTTTGAAACAATCAGCTTCAAGAACTTCTATACCAGATGATCTCAGTTCTGGGGACAGCTTAACAGCTATTGCAAACAACCTAACAAAATAAATACCTTAAGTAATAGTCCGAGTAAGAAGCAGGCAAGCAAACGGCAATGGAATGCATGAAGGTGCTAATTGTGTATTGTATAATCCATCCATCTCATTGGTTAAAATATTAAAATCTGACATAATTTCAAAAGTAATTGCATTTTTTGATATTCTATTTAATATCTGATTCTAACTTCATAAAAGCTTTACTTAGCTCTAATATTAATAGCAATTCTATGTGGGGAACATAGCAAATTAGAGGCATCTTTTGGCTATTGTTTTGAGTGATTATGATTGGAGAAGATCTTTTAATACAAAAGAAACTTTGTTTCAAAACAGAGTTTATCCACATTTTATTTTAAAAATCTGTTACCCATAGGTTGATATATAATCAGTGTGAAAACCAAGACATTRGTATGTGGGGAAGTTGCAATTGCCACAGAACAATAGAAGGCTGCCTGCTTTTTGCGCGCATTGTTACTTAATAATTAATCATCATTATCAACCATTATCATCAGCAGCAATTATTATCAGCAATGTTCAAGTTGGAATGACATGGAATACCCATCACCTTTTATGAATGTTGGCTTCTTTTTCCGAGTATCTAAGTTCAGCTTGGTGTCAAATGTAATAACAAATGTAATATGCACCCTTCATTCTATTAGAAACCTTAAAGCCAATACTACGGTTTGATTAAAATAATATCTATGTACTTACGGATGGAACATACTAGCAAGCATAATTCTCTCGTTTGTTTTCAGCTTCAGACGACCAAATTTTAAATTGATTGGAAAATTGTCAGGATTTGACAGGATCTCGGATGCATCCCTGCCATCTGGGAGCTTGCGTCCAACTACTGGTTCTCCATTGATGGCGATTAAACAATGACCAACTAATAAACATTTGTTACAATATCGTACATTAGAACTTTTGGGGGATTGTCGTATTGAAGAGGTTAAAAAGTGCTTAAAAATATTTTACCTTTTATGCCACCACCCTCTCCAAATATCACTTCAAGTTTATCATCTCCTCGTAGAGTAATATCTAGTGGATAGCTAAACGTTTTTTCTACTTCACTTTTAGGCGTATGATGGTCGTAATGATAAATCAATCCTCCTGCTCTGTTCAAAACGTAGACACTGAAGATCACCATTTTGATTTTTACCCATCATTCCAAATTAACACAGGAAGCCCAATACTAATTACGCTCGCGCGCGCCTTATTCAAAATGGCGGGAACTGGCGGGAAGGAGATTCTTTACTGGTTCAAGAAACTTTCCAGCAATGATAGTGCTTTTATGAAGTTTTTATTTATTTTAGAATATTTCCTAACGGAGACGGAAGGAATGGCTACAGCTCGTCTGTTTGCGTAAGTTTGTCACTATGTTATATATTCATCTCAAAACACTACATTTTAACCCGACTTGCTCTTACAAGCACATCTACTCGAGTCAAATATTTCGCCGCTTTTACAATCGCGTTGACTTTTGATACACGTAAACTGGCACCTCAAATCCTCTCTAATAGGGACTACACACGTTGCAACTTGTTTATCGCCTATGAACTTCTGTACTTTCACATTACGATAGCGATATCGATGTTTGACTGGAGCACATCTTGTGCGAGGTAACGCTTTTCCAATACACCGCTTCACTTTGACGTACGAGGGCTCGTAACTGATAGCACCGTACGGATTGCCAACGGAAACAACCGTCTCGTGGGCTGAACACTTCACTTCAGGAAGCTCCTCGTCGTTTCCATAGTCTAAAATAAATATTTTTCATTAAAAAAAATAGTAGGAGAATTATAGGTGTGGGCTGAGGTAGGGTAAGTTTATCTGTCTCCGCTGTGACCTGAAAAAGCTATAGCTTATATGAAAACGCTAAATGCTCATCTCTTTCATGACAAGTTTTGTTTAACTGTTCAAGTAAGAAGAGTTAGTCCATAAAGGTGAAAATAAAAATACATTAGGTGAAAAGAAATGGCAGAATTTCTGTCTCTAACAATATGTCATTCAATGAGAGGCCATGTGTTATGTCTTACCTCCTCTAGATGCACCACACTTCATTTCTTTTTGACCCAGTGGGCCTCGGTTGCTGAGATATGCTTTATTGAACCAGGTTTCAAGACTTGGTGACACATGCTAGTAAAAAAACAAACATTTTATGTCTTTTTTCACCTTTTTTCATTACACTTTTCTCTTTATAAAATTTTGTTCTGTTGTTTTGCTTGTATATTTATCTAATTATTATCTTTTGTAAAATCAAGAATTGATTTTGATCAAGTCTTGAATGTCATTTTTAACAATATTTTTCAATTTAGCTCACTGTCTAATCAACTGCACTAAGTAATCAAAATTATTTTTATCTCAATGAAGCACTTAAACCTTTCATTCAAATATTATTTATATTGTTTTTCCATTGATAACTCAATGTATTTCTATGGGTACTAATATGTGGGCGTTAAGTGCCACTTTTCTACTAGTTCCTACAGGAACTTGCAATTATCAATCATCTTTATCCTCCCATCAGTTTATTAGCATCTTAAATGTCTTGTTGAAAGACTGAACTACTGGAAAATGTTGTCTGTTATAAAGGCTCCTTGATTCATGGCTCTCTTTACATTACTGACAGTTACAACATCTCAATAATTGATATAGCCTGAATTTTTTTTCATATCAATTTTTATCATCAATTAGCTTTGTTTCTATTTTTCACTTAGATTTTCTTTAAAGGTTTTTGTGTTCTTTTTCATATGGCAGTAAAGAAGGAATTTGCTTTCTATTCATGTATTCATTATTCAAAATTATAGTTGTTTTTCTCCATTTCAATGAGTACTTATTTCATCTTCTTTTCTTTAAGTCTTACGAGGTTTATAACACTAAATCGAAATGTCAAGTCTCTGTTAGAATACTTTTCTTTCATTCTCTTTTCGCTTTTTTATTTCTTTCCTTTCTTTTTTTCGTTTTCATCTTTCTGAAAAATTGATTAATTTCTCGGTATCGTTTTTTTATTCACAGTTTTCGTCTTTTTTTTTATTCACAGTTTTCAAGTCATCTTAAAATGACTACATGACCATTCAATTCCAATGTTTTGTTTTTACTTTTCCATTCAAGTATTTCAATTTTTTGACATATCGAAAGTGCAATTTTAATAGGTTTATCAACTATTTGTGGGGAGATTTTCAAAGAGATGTGAAACCAGAGGAGATTTTTTAAAGGCCATCAATGCCCACGATAAAAACTGAAAATTTGTTTTTAAAGAGTATCAATGTGGGCAATATCGACATTTATCGAAAAACAAATTCGCATGGATCATATTTCAAACTTCCTGAATAGAAACATTTGAGTAAAATCAGTAATAAAACTTAGGGCATTCTCTGAATAAATCCCAAATACTGCACTCATAACCTCTGAATTCAAAACTAAAACAAATAAAAATTAGGTGGTTTATAAAATATAGATATCCATGTGACAATCGGGTGAAATGCCTGCAACTCAATTTTCGTAATCGGGCGTGTTTCACTTTTGATTAGAATTGTACTATTTCCTGAAAATGCAGTCTACATTCCTTTTACTTTGAACGATCTTTCATCTTGTTGCTGTCATGATAGTCAAAACAAATCAAATGAAAGTGATAAATGTCATTGGATTAGACTTACATTTAAGAGTCTTTCAGTCAACAGATGAGGCTGTTCATTAAAAGGTCAGCAATTCAATGCAACATAATATGAGAAATAATTAGACTTGTTCTGACATAAGAGCTGAAACCATGAATAGCTCCGCTTTTCTGCGCTGAGAAGTTATTTCATGTGCACAGCTTTTCAGATTTTATGATATTCAGTCTCCGGGCTTTATAAGCTTTGGGTTTTTGTCATACCATATGACACTATTATCAAAAGGCCAGATTCCAGCCGAATTGTCAGCTATTTTATGTCGTAGATCATAAATAAACTAAATGAATAAAGTTATGAATAGGGGATCCTTGTAAACAATGAAGCTCATATTTTTCATTAAAAAAAAAATCATTTTACCAGGAGCTACCCCGTTGCTTCAGGAGCAATTTGCGCGATATGAAAAAAATTCAATATTTTTTTTTTCAAAGACTGAAGAGCATCATTTGCATGTAAAAACATTCTTTGTTTCTAATTTATATACAACACTAGATAATAGTGTCTACCCGCAAACAGCTTGTTTGTGTTCTTAAATATTGATTCAAGCTACAAATCATGACTTCAAATCTGTCTGCATGTGCCTTACGGGTCAAAAAGTGCTGGTGAGCACAAAAAATGGCCTATTGCCCTTTTTGCTCTGCTTCAAAAGCGTTACAAAGTCTTTTGACCGGATAATTTTGCGCCAAAAATGCTTTGTAAAATTCATTTAATCTCCTAGGAAACTTCCCAAAGAATTTTGTATTTTTCGAACATTTAATGACAATTAATTATGATCAAATGTTCGAAAGCTAATATCGGGCTTTCTGTGAACGCTCGAAAGAGTTATCAACATTCGTTCGTTTATACCTGTTGTTCAATAGGTCCATCTCTTGCCAAAGAATCATCAGCAATTTCTGTGCGGTCAGCAAAAATGTGAATAACACACAGAGTAATAAGTACGATCGCTTGCAAAACCGTGAGAGACATGTCACCGAGTCAGGAGTGTTATCTCGCCGGGTGAGATTGCACGATATGACTATGAAGGACGAGAGTGGCGTTACATCGAGTATTTATCACAAAGAGTCTGGGCCAGATGGACCGTGTCGAACTGTAGTTAAGTTTTCCTATGCTGTGCAAACACCTGTTTGTTACGGTGGCATACACGGTGACACCTCACCAGAAAAATAACTTGTGTTGCGCTTAAAAGCCTCCTTTTGTCTCTGGTTTAGTGTGTTATGGGACACTTCAGCGCTATGAATAAGAAATGAGCACTTTCAATAGAGAGTTGATGTATTGCTGTAAACACCTTTATCTTTAGGTTTTATAAAATGTCGCACTGCGGGTTGAAGTAAATTAGATGTTTATGTAGATTGATCGATCAAGACAGTACTTATTTGAATGGCGACGTTTTATTGATGTCCGATGAGCAATTAGATATCCGTTGTATGAATGATTATTGTACTTTAGGAAATATCATTCTTTCATCATTAATTCATTTATTCGTTTGATCACTTATTTGCTTTTTATTCATTCATTTCTCGTTTTCAGGTTTTTTTCTCTTTTGCACTTTTTTAATTGTAGAAGTCAAACTCTTCCTCTTTACATTTTATGCATTTCTATCCATGTATATTCATAAGAAAGACAGAAAGTTATGTCCTAATTAAATGAGCAATGAATACGCCGATCTTTAACGGTCCAACAACGATGTCTAATATGCTTCCTTCATATAAATTTGACAGGAAATGTCAATTTCAGGAAGATCGGCTGTATGTATGAAGCATACAGATACAATTTGATTATAATTTGACATCGATTATTTCTCTATGCTTTAATTTGTTCATGGATCAGTTTTGTCTATATCTATGCCACATACTGTTCGATCTTTTCAAAAGTGATCTAATAGTCAAAAGTAATATTCACTATTTATACAAAGAAATTCTAATCAATACTTGCTGTAGCAATATTATATGTAACGTATTCAACTTTGTTTATTGCATTTCAATATTTTATATGGATCTATTTCATCCTTATTATAAAAGCTAATTTGTTTTCAATTCAAATCATGTAGGCAGCCCAACCATGAATTTCTTATTTGTTGTCTTGTTGGCGTTGTCCTCTTATTTAATATTTGAGAATTTCATTAATTAGGGAAAGAAAACGTAAAGTAGAATTGGAAATGGAAATGGAATTGGAGCCGGTGCTACAAACGCCTTCATCGGCTCAATATCTATTTTTAACTCCTAATCCTGCCGGGCCTGGTTGTTCAAAAATCGATTAGCGCGATCAAGTTAAGTCTTAAAAAACATATGGAGTTAACCCTCGATTAGCGCTAATCGGGCTTTGAACAACCGGGCCCTTTATAGAGTATAGTCAGTTTCACGGACGGTTATCATCAAAGTGATATTATGGAAAAGGTATTTTTTGTACAATGTAAATGTTTTGTGGTGGGAGTTAAAAGAGAAATTAGACATAACTAAGTCAACTGTAGTATTTTATTAATGTCCTTTCATATGATTCTATAAATATGCTATCTTCTATTTCAACCTGACTTACTTTTACACGTACATGAACCTGGATCAACTTTATCGCTGGGGTTTTCGCAAGTTGTTTTTTTGCACGTAAACGTGCATTTATCGTGCTCCTTGATCGAAAATGAACAGGTTTGAGCCCAATTTGCGCCTATAAACTTATGTACTCTAATTCTATTTACGCTAACGTGATCTTTTGCAGCAACGCATTTATGTCGAGGCTGGTAGTTCATCTCGATGCATCTGTTTACTATAATGTGTGAAGGTTCATAAGTTATACTGCTGGGGTCGTTCGGGTTCCTAATGGCTACCACAGTTTTACGAAGTTCACAGGGTTTGAGATTGGCGGGTTTTCTAAGACTTTTGAAAGCTTAAAAAAAAAACATTCATTGTGAGTAATAGTTGTTATTGTACTTTTGTAAACTGTACAAAAAACTAGAACAGAAAATACACATGATGATTGACTCTCCATCATTGCCTGGTTTCATACTATGGGAGAGTGATTGTCCAAGTTTCGCACGCACTTTCTTTCGAAAATGAAAAATACCTATTTTCATACGCGCGCCTGCGATATTTTTGAACGGCCGCTCATCTCGGAATTCGTGATGAGATGACGAACGACATTTTAAATAGCAAAATCATAAAGTTTAGTGTTAATCGGACCAAAAATAAACACTTTCAAAACACCTTTACCAAAATGATAGTTTTTAAAGAAAAGCATATGACAATTTTAAAGGCACTTGAATCTAGTCCCCCACAGTATAAAATCAGGCTACAGTTTCAATCGTAACTGTCACGCACTTTTGTTAAAGGAAATATGCATACCATTTCTATCATTCAAACAACTCGGAGATCTTAGATATACTTGATCTTGAGTGATATAGCCAAATTTATCAAACAATGGTGGCTTGTAGTTGATCTATAAGTAAACAACTTGAATTTGTATTGTGATTTAATATTATAGCATGGATATAGACAAATTCAAAGTGATATTACTAAGTTGCATTCTAGTCTGGTCTAATATCTATTTCACGCATTTTTCTTAAAGGACGGATGCATCGCCTGTTTTGTTTCAGTGGGAACCAGGGGGGYAAAAATCAAAGTGTACGAGAGACTAATCCCCCCCTCCCCCGGGAAGTCAGACTATTGGTTGCTGTCAACTTTTAATCTATTATTTTCTTTTGTTCTTTACTGTTTTTTCATAATTGATATAAATCACTAATCACATTTCCAGGTTTTGAAATAAACTAAGCACACGGAAGGCAGCAAAAAGTTAGGCTAGTATTTTTATGTATTTCACATTCAAGAGGGACGGTTAACCGACATTCATTGCCGTCGTGTTTTAGATTTAAAATGAGGTTACTTATACAAATTATGTCGTAAAACCTTATTTTTCTTACTTTCATTGCTTAGAGAAACCTCGAATGTGTTATAGTTTCACTAGTGAAAATATCAAGTTTACGCCAATGGAGAAATATAGGTATTTTATAGATAATTATATGATAAAAAGGGATATTAAGGATTATGACGTTTTTGTCTGTGTATTTCGATGGTTTTTTTATAAAGTTTTAAAACGTAACCAAAATCTCTTAAGGGATGACGGTTGATAATGGGCTTTTCATCAGCACTTGCATGTGATCACAGTTCAAGTGAAGCTTTAAAAAATGCTCTCTGTAAAGGCCAGTTTACAATTGGCCTTTTTGGAACGATTTTAATACTGCGACAAGAAAACGACGACCGCAGTGCATCATGGTATGACTAGTAATCGTATACCTGTTGATCAAAATCATCTTCAATTGGCTCATCTCGTCTCAATACATCATCAGCAAATTCTGTGTGATCAGCAAAGGTTTGAATAGCATAGGCTGACATAAGAATGATCGCTTTCCAAAACGCGCGAGACATTTCGTCGAATCAGGCGTCAGTCCACTGTTGGTGAGATTGTTTAAACTATATCAGAAGAACGAGAGTAGTTAGTATTTATAGCAACAGTGTAACCAGATGCAGCGCATCGTGGACTATACTCTTAATAACATCTGTCTACTACATCGTTTGTGAAACTTTGATGAAATTATGTTTACTAGCAACCTTCGTAGCACGTTTTCGTTTGAAAATAGACTTATTTGAGGGTCTCACTGGGGGGGTCCGCATCACGACTCACGGCTAAAAATTTGGCTTTTTCACGCCTCACGGCTAATTTTTTTCACATTTCCACGACTCACGGCTAATTTTTCAGCCGTTTCACGGCTAATTTTTCTCATTTTTACGATTCACGGCTAATTTTTTAGCCGTTTCACGGCTCACGGTTAACCCCATTGAGGCCCTCTTATTTCGCGTCGCATTATTCGGCAAAAATAGAAGTGATAAAGTAATTGTGGGATAATGTGCGTTTTGTCATTACTAATTTCATTCATTTAATCTCTCGTTCTCTCATCTGTCCATGCATTTTGTCATCCATTCATTCGTTATTGATATCCCCACTTTTAATCTTGCCGATCTGGAGGCTCTTTCGATAATTTACTTCCCTATGTTTTCATGTGTTTTAAATACTTGTTTGAATATGCTTACCACTTTCAACAGAAATACACATTTACACCAAATGTCAAATTAAGATTTGCTTTGAAAATTTGTCAAATAAACGTAAAAATGCTTCGAAAAAAATAGTGATGCGCTCATTTATGAAAAAATTAATCAATTTTATATACGGACGCAAAAGAACCGGGCGTTAATACAAACTAAATAACTAATCACGTGATTAGTTGTGACGTTGGGTGTTCGCAGCAACGTTAATCTAAAACTATAAAAGGTTGAGACCCATGAAATAAATTACGACATCCCGCCCAAAATTAGAACTGACACCAACAAGAGCATTTAGCACCATCAAAAAAATTGGGAGGTCGCAAACTTTGTCTATCAAACCTAAGGCAATTTTACAGTTTTACTGTAATTACATATTATTTTCCTCTACTGATGATTGCCAACTCTTATTATGTAAATTATTGAAATACCAAATGCATCAGCAGCTGTCCAGAATAAGTTCTATTAAATCCCATATAAATATCGGAAAAGAATAGAATCGAGGATGGATAAACAGTTGGAAATATAATGTAAGCGTGGTGGTAACTGAGAAGATAAGTGTCATGCTATTATCAAAAATATAACAATCATAGAGAAATAAAACCCAGTAATAAACATCAATAATTGCAGTGCTTCCATTAAGCCCATATGTCATTACTGATATCGTGGATTCATGCCCTAATCGAATATTTATCAATAATAACTGAATTTCAGATATTTCTAACTGCGCATGAGTAGTCAGGAAATTAGCTGTTTTAATATTAGCAAGAAGACGTGGCCTACAATGATTCGGGTTTTTTTGTGGCGCAACAGCAACAAAATGAGAGATGTGACTAACTTCAGTCCCTACAAAAACACATAAAAATTCCGTTAATAGTAATAATGATTAATAGGTATTAATACATAAGTAGCGATAGTGATGATAATAGTATTATTATTATTATTTTTATTTATCGTCTAATTTTGCGTTTTCTTATGATGAAAGGTGTCAGCCATCAAGCCCAGTTTTTTTTTCTTTTTTGTTTTTCTTTTCTTTTCTTTTCTGTTCTTTTCTGTTCTTTTTTTTGTTTGCTAAAAGCACGTTTACATGTTTTATTTAGATCATACTAATTGCACTAATAAATGGCGACACGCGACATCGCTGATATTTATAAGTCAGTTCCTAGCACTAGCACTTTCTGAAAAAATATTGGCGACAATATCCCATTTTTTCTGATATATTTTATATATACTTAAAATATGAGCAAAAAAGATCATAATTTCTGCATTGGTGTATATAGAAAATAGTATTATTTTATGATATACGGATATTAGTCCTGTTATAAGAAATTTATCGTCTCATTTTGCGTTTCTTACGATGCAAGGTGTCAGCCATCAAGCCCAGTGTTTTTTTGTTTTTTTTGATTTTTTGTTTGCAAAAAAAAAAAAAACACTTTTACATGTTTTATGTTTAGGTCATGGCGACACGCTTCTGGCGCTATATTCATTGATAAAGTCATTTCTTGTGAGCTCCCTGCGATCATTGGTATTTTCTTTATTCAATTCACCTCCTGCTGCTTCGGATGCAGAAAATTATATTAGTGACGCATTGGTTATCTACTCTTTCCTAAGAATTAAGTTTTGAAATGGTATACTGAACAAAAACACAAGAAATTTGAATTTCTTAAAAGACACTGATGCACGCTGCACATCTAATTATGCAGTGACCCATATTCCCTTTCGGCCTTGGGTTTGAAAAACACTAGCATCCTCCGCAAGAAACAGTTCTCTTGACCGAGAGGGACATTGTGACCGCCAAGAAATGAAGGTCTCCTCTTTTATATTTTCCGCTTGTTAACATATTGGTCATATTGAGGAAGACAGGAAGCCCAAGGGTAAACAGAAAAAGATTGGAAAGGAAGGAGACGCCTGTGGGGGAGGCTAGAATTGCACAACTTTTATTCAAAGCATTGACTTTCCCGAAAGTCAAAGTCACCACTATGTTCCTGAGTATATTCCCAATTAGGGACTGAATAAATTTGGGACAGTATGCGACTGCAACTTTGGCTACGGCCCTTTTAATACGCCAAAACGGTTAAAATTGAGTGAGTGTACGTGTTTGACAGCGAACAAATTTGTGAGACACTTGTGCGTACAGAGCGATAGAGACGTTATTTTGTGTAAATCAATTTGCAACTATCTAATACACTGTCTAATTCAATGATAGACATATCAGTATTGTTTTTGTGTTGAGTTTACTGTGAATACGTTTGCAATAGTAAATTCACAAGGGAGTGTTTTTTTTATAATCATTCGTTTTTTATCGTTGTTTCTTACAATAATAGAGTAAATTAACCTGAGCGCTTTCTCTTTTTGGTCTCACATGTGCAGGTCTTATCATTCCATTTATAACTTATTCCTTTCAACAAACACCACTCCCATAGTTCCTCCTTGCAAACACACAAGCATTCGCTCTCCCTCCATTCATGCGTCTCAGGATTGCATTCGTTGGCATTGTGCACACAACTACATCCACACCATGTATCGTTCGTCATAGGAACGATACAGTGCCGTATATTACTACCCCTTTGAATGTGCACATTGACATTCACTGTTTCGCTTTTAATTGTAGTGCATCGATAAATGGATTCATGGCGGTAACAATCGCCACCGCAGCGATGAAGGCTTATAAAGCTTGGCAAAACGGTGTCATCTACTTGCGCTGAAGCCGGCTCGACTGGTACTAAGGTGGGGAAAGGTCGGCAGTCTACGTTATGCAGATGTTTGAAATTATAAGCTGCAGAAAAAGCAATGAATTATTTACGGTTAATTAGTTGGTATGGGCATTGTCTCCATCAAGTTTACAAATTCATTTACGTATTAGTTCTCACTCAATGTGATAAAACAAATGATAGGCCGACCAAAAATAAATTTCTGTCTTATAATTATACACTATCTTCAATATTCGATTTCTTCTGAAATAGCTGCATTAAAATTGCATAACATGCCAACGTGGTGCGGTTTAATGTTCAGACTTTTAGTAAGAATCTAGAGATCCGGTAATAGATACGAAAAAGTCTATAGATACTACAAACTCTAGAAAAAACTGATCTATTGCATGAGTGAAAACCTTTTGGCAGACTCTTTATTCAACTCTTCCTAAAGAACGGCAATTCTTACCCTTTTCGCTTGTTGGGGAATCGCACATCGCCATCGTTTTCGACCTTATGACATGTATGAAGCGGCGAAAAGGATTTTCGCGGATCTCGTCCAGTAGTCGCTAATTGAGTAAAGATATTAACTGAGGAAAACTGACTGAAGTGTATGATTCATCTTCGAGTCGAGTTAGACTTTCATTTCATCTTTAGGATTTCTAAATCTAGTAGCCATTTCGCCCAAGGTCTCTATTCAAGGGATATGATATAATATCTTGATATTATATTAGCCAATCAGAGTGCGAGTTGGCTTGAATTCACTTGTTTGAATATAGAATACTGTACATTTCTAAAATAGTATGATAATAGCGTGCTTATACCTGATCTCTCAAATCATCTTGATTTAGTCCATCTCTTACCATAGAATCATCAACAATTTCTGTGCGGTCAGCAAAAGTGTTCAAAACACACAGAGTAATAAGTACGATCGCTTGCAAAACCGTGAGAGACATGTCACCGAGTCAGGACTGTAAGATAGTACAGTGTTAGTGACCATGAGGGACGAGATCAGTGTAACATAAATGGGGTTTTATAACAAAAAGACTATAACCAGATGGAGTTTCTTGTACTGTATTCTTTGCGTCTGCCATGTAAATCATCGGATAGTTTTATAAAATCAGCACTGAGTCGGCATGGAAAGAAGGAGTAAATTACCACTATTGAGTTGTGACATTTGTTATCAAAGCCTTCAGGAAAAATAAAAAAACTTAGAATTAACAACTAGACCTAAAAGACAAACGTGACTACGACAAATTAGCCTTGTTTGTTGTTTCCTTGTAGTCCATGATTGTCTGATTATTTAGCAGCATATTAGGCGAAGCCTTAAAAGGTTTATAATTGACAGTGATCCCTATATGAACAAAAGATTTTAGATTGACTTTGTTAAAAAAACGCTCCATTTCTCAATGTAAACCTGTAAATTGTTATCAAAACTCAGTCAGGCAAATTGAAAGAAAAAAATTGTTGGGATTCACTCAGAATGTTTTTATGTAATCAGTTGTGTTCTTCGATTGCTATTGCACTTTTAGTTCTTTTTTTTTTTTTTTGTCGTTTGCCGGATGAGTGCTACTAGATATTAGAGTGGTTTTCATAAACACTTTTGCGTTCTACACTTTAGCTCTTTATTTTACATGATTTCTTTATATTTTCGGTACACAATATTACACTTTGAATATCACACGGCCACTTTGTTTCATTGGTTTATGGAAATCACCCTATTTAGATACACTCAGGAGCTAGCAGTTCCTAATTTCCTTGCTTTGTTCATATCTAGGTATTTGACTTCGTGACTCCTGTATCAAACCCCACCCCTCACCCTTTCTCCTTGATTAAGTACCATACTCCCTCCCCTCACCTTTGATTAAGCACAAATAAGAAACTACCAAATTGTCAAAAAAAAGAACACCCATTATGTCTCAACAGAGAAAAATGAAATAAAACCCTGAAAAGAATGAAATCGAAACAAAGGAGACAGCAATTCAATACTTTTTACAATGACAGCAGAAGCTAATACGGTGCGGCTACACGAGCGCAGGCGACGCGATTTTCATGGTGAAGGGAGGGACGCCCTGGTTTGTCATCCCATTGCATCAGACCCAATTTTCTTATTTAGATTCTGTTCACTAAAAGCGGCCTTGGAGATGTAACGTGTAATACAATGGCAACCAATGTCCCTTAGTGGGCAGTTCAACATACATTCAATGCACGTTATAAACTTTCATGAGTGCAGATAATACAATAATAATTATATGATGCTAAAATCGTGCAACATGCTGGAAATGATATAAACTAGTACTTGAACTGAAAGTCAAATGCTCTTTTAACCTAAGGGGGCGTTCACAGCTTAAAAGGCTATACGTTGCGGGTCTATTCTTAATATTAACATGATATAATCAACTTCAATATGCTCAATATCCCACTATAATAACGAGGATTTCCAAGTGATTTCGCAGTGTATAAAACAAGAAATAGGATCACTTACACTGTCCTGCTTTGCCAAGACCAATTACTCAGACACTCCCTATAACTTGGTAAATCGCTCTTGAACTAGCTAAAGGTGGAAGAGGTCTTTTATGTGGGGACGCTTAAATATACTATTACAAAGTACATAAAAGTTTATGAAAAGTATATAACTAAGATAGCTATCTAGAAATCGAATTTTAGAAATGTTAAATAAACATTTAATAAAATTTAAATACATATGACAAAGATAAAAATCTTCAAAGTATCAGTGATATATGACGTACATAATATTATTTGAGCACTACCATAGCAATGTCATTACGTTTTTCTTTTCATGAAAAATTAAAACTCTTAAAACATATTAGCCGTTTTGTGGTGCGCGCAAAGCAAAAAATCCTTGAAATCAAAATCTTAATCAGCATCTGTAAATTGAAATGCGAATGCAGCCTACTACAATCAGTTATCTCTAGTTTTTGCAATAAAATGTGCAACTTCCCTGCTTTGTCGTGCAAAATGACGTCGCTGCAGATTGCCTATTGCAAATCATCAAATGTAACAATCCAGTGAGATCGCTAGTCTGCGTGCATACAATTATTTCTTCGGGAACAATAATGGCTTCCATTTTTCAGCGCTGGGCCCTATTCATACGAAATTGACTCTAATATCAAGGCCAACTTACACCATGCGACTTGTCGTGTGCGGCTTGACGTACACAATCGTAACGTGTAAATGGCTCTATTACGAGATGCGTGCGATCTTCAACTTGTCCCTGGGCAAATCGTGAAATCTGATCGGACTTCAGAGATCACAGAAAATGTTATAATTATCGAGTGTATGGTTCTCAGAGTTTCCATAAAATGCTAAAATTATTGAGTGTGTGGTTCTCAATGGAAATGAACATGGAAACATAATCAGTTGTTGTTATTTTATTTAACATAATACTAATCTATCCCGATCCAGACTTTTCTCGTTTTACCTCTTTCCCACATGACTCGCGTCAACAGTTACATGAGAAAGTTAGTTAAATCACATATAAATTCTACTGTTTCTGCGGCTATGATGAGGCCGATACACCGGGGTTACATTTACAGTTGTTATTAGGATCGGGTGCTCTTCCAAATGGATCATTATGACACATTACCATAGCACAGCCACATGAACAGTTATTATCGTTCCATTTATGACTTTTCCCTTTCAACTCACAAGCCGTCTTTAGATGCGACTTACAAACACACGAGCACCGATTCTCATTCCATTCATGCGTCACAGGATTGCAATTATTGGCATTTTGCTTACAATTGCATCTACAAAGAGTATGATTACTCATAGGAACGATACAATTCCGTTCCAGTTTACTACCGATTTTAATGTGCACATTCACAGTTTCGCTTTTTATTGTAGTGCATCCATATCCTTGGTTCGGGATATAACAGTCACCGGAGCAGCGATGGAGAATAACAAAGCTTGGACTGATGAGTTCATCTACTTGCTTCGAATTAGGCTCAACTTTAACTAAGGTGGGAAATGGTCGGCAGTCTACATTTTGTAGGGCTTTGAAGTTTGAAGCTGAGAGGAAAAAAAAGAGATGAATTTTTTGTTATAAGTGTCGTGCATGCTCATCTTTTAATCTTAAATAATGAGTATTCTTTTTTTGCTTTTTATAATTAGTATTTGCTCACTTACTAGTTTTAATTGAATCGCACATGGGCATCGTTTTCGTCCTGGTGAAGCGGTAAAAAGGATTTTCGAGAATATCATCCAGTCGACGCTAAATGAGAAAAAAACAATTCCCAATTTTGTTATTATTTAAACAACTTCAAGACATAATTGACCTCTTCGTGACTTCCAGTTTACCTCGTGCATTTCATCACGAAGATGTATTGTCTAAGAAACTGTACTTGTTGGATTCATTATGTTAATTAATGATGAAGAGACGGATATACAATCGATTAGCAGCTAACCGCATTGTGGCCATCTATATTGTGGCTTTTTTGTATCATTGTCTAATGTATGCGCCTTTCTTCTCCCATACCTGCTTTATTAAGTCTCCTTTTTGTTTCAACGATATGATGAAATGGCCGATCAATCGTAAAATGTATATAGAACTATGCCATCATATTTATTCTTAATATATTGCTTTTACGTCTTCCTAAATTTTCCTTTTATGCTTATTTGTGAATATATGTATTACTATAATCATAATCTATCATATGTAATTCTGAAATTATGGAATTTATTAATGTGAAACTGTAGTAGTAATGTGACTTTTAATATTTAAAATTATCTTTAAGGTGTGGGTAGGATAGAGGAAGTGTAGATATCTTGATATAAATTTAAGTCATGAGTGAAAAAAACCGTTAAGGAACCACTTATATTTCGATAAAACACTAATAAAGTAAAGTATAAAAACAGCTGATGAATAATTGTTGGAAAGCCTTCGAAAATGAAGAGGTTATTAAAATTCTGCAAAATATTTATAAGCCTAAAAACTGTCTGAATGGCAAAATAAATCCAGAAAGTTCATTGTCGTTGACTTGTAATAAGTCACTTGTTTCTTTGATGCTTACAGTAAAGTTGTTATACTTATTATTGAAAACTGAAAAATGAAGATGACTTCTACGTAGGGTGTCGAAACGTCAGGTAACAGTCTTCTTAAGACTTCTCACACCCGGACGATCATATCACTCCCATAATCATTACACTAATCTCCCCAAAAAGCACAATAGGGGCTGAGAGCAAAATGCGCATTTTTCTTACTTTGTCAATAAATCTAATTTTGGATTCATCATTACTTTCAATGTACATTTTTCAAGTTAACATAACAAGAACCAATATAATTGTAATAATTTTCTGTCAACTTCTACAAATTCTCGAACAGATAGCGACACCTAGCCATCGGCAATCGGAGTGAGGTACCTCGACATTTCGCGCTTTCCCTAAAGTGACTTTTAGGGATGTTTTCAGTGGACCCCCTTATATTAAATAAGTAGTTTACTTACCTCTGTATAAAGGTCATCAATAAACTTACACTGACATAGAACAACTTGAATAAGCAGCATTAACAACAGCATCTTTAGTGACATGTTGGTGATATACAATACTTTAATGCTGTGAAAACCCATATATATACTGTAAACGTAAGGTGGGGTGTTCGCTGATCCTATTAATGTACACTCTTCGTCGTTGGGGAATTTAATTGATTACGCTTCTACCTTTAATAAATCAATTGTGCAGTTCAGTCTAATTTGAAAGCGAAATGTCAGTTTTTTCATTGACAAATGGCCAGCTGGCTTTTACTTGAGTTTCAGCTTGATTATTTCGGCGGTGCTTAATTTTGTTGTAACGATGGGAAGATTAAAGGAAGTTCCTTACATAAAGTTATGGATTGATGGCTGAATAGATCTTAAGTTTACTCTTTAAATTAAGGCTCCGACTGAATGAAAATAACCTATTTTCAATGGCACAATTTTAGCCGATTCAACTGTGAACATGTATAGCCCTCATGATTATTTTATAGCGTTTTTGAGGTCGATTTTTGTGTCATTAGTAATTCATCAGGTGTTCTGTTGATTAGGTGAACAGGAAGCATTTAGGATTTTCCGCTTGGAACTTAAGTTTTTCCCCCCGATCGACTGAAAATAAGTTGTTTTTATAATACACATTGCGTACTGTGCGCAGAATCTTAATCTTTCAGAAGGCTTTCGTTTTTGTTCGGCGCGCTAAAAAGGATATAATACTATAAAAGAATCTGATAGTTTGATAATTGCTTTTTTGTTCAGACATTATCGAGGTCGTTTCAAATGTCAGCTTACTATTCGTGGGCAGGCATTATGATGCGTAAACTGGCTTTGTTAACATGTGTGTTCCTGTCAGCATTGCTTATGACATATATATTATCATTATGAATATTAAAATAGCAATTTTACTATGATCTCAATATGGTTATTTATTTTGCATAGTTGTCACTTAGACTTATTCTTGTTTTTATTTTGAATAAACCCGATTACAAGAACTTATGATGTTACGAGAAAATGAAAAATTATTTTGTTTGAAAAGGAAAATTTACAAATAGGAATAAATTATAAAAGAAAATATAGTCAATCAAATGGAACTTGTCTCTTTGGATTTTAATTTCAATTCCTATTCTTTTTGAAATAACTTTTGAAAGAACGTTCGATGTTATGCCGTAGTAAAATATAAAAAAATATAATAATTGGGAAAAGTCGCTTTTGTAAATATTATTTTTCTTACGCTGATTTTTTTTTCTTATACAGCCTTTTGCAATAGATGGTTATAGTACCGTACGATACCAGTATTCATCGTTGTCATCGTCACCATCTTTCTTATTATCCTTATTATTTGTTATTATATTTGCTATTATAATAACTATCATAATCATTTTGGCCTGGACTTTGCATATCCCGTCTTGCTTCTCTTTAAAATACTTTTATTATAAGTTTACTGCGTGATCGGCTATATCAAATATGTTTTATGCGAAAAGGCGTTTTTTTTATCGTGGATAAATTGATATATACAAATATCTCTCTTATGGGAGTTTATGGGATATTCAATAAAGAGGCTTAATTTATTTATTTGATTGTCATCTTACACTTTTTCGATCAAAAGCAAATACAATAAGTAGCTATCTACGGATATTTGCATGCAGGTTAAACATTTATATCACATGTACAGTGATATAAGCCTGTATCATATAATACTAATCTAAAAATTATACAGCTACTGTGGAAGTATAAGTGGGACTTTTTGATATAATGGACAATCAACTTCCACCGATCATGATGTTCATGGTATACATAATGCTTCAAAAAGCCAGCGCAGGTTCAAACTGTTTATTGTGTTAAAACGCCGACAGTATATGAAATGATCATTTTAATATATTGAAAACTCTTTATTTCTTCAGCGCGCATGTTAGTGGATGTTGTTTATTTATTGTGTTTTTGGCGTCGCAGGTCGCTCAYGTTGATCAATCATTAGCTGTTTATGATTCATACACTTGTTGCTGTTCAACTATAGTGAAAGAGAATGAGATTAAAAAACTAATATGGCTATGATAAATAGTATACTTTGTCTTAAGAATAAATTACAGCTAGTCAATGGGCAGGGCGCTGATGCCCATTTATATCATTTAAGCTGCGGTTACTCAAATAATACCATTAATAACTTGATTCCTTAAAAAAATAGCTTATTTTTCCTCGTGCAGTCGTTTATTTATAGCAAAAAAATCCAGTTTTTAACATAGCATCAAAAGGAAGACATTTGTTTTTAATATTAATTAGATTAAGAAAGTTGGGCTTCCATTCGCATCTCAAACAGGTCATATCGCACTAAATTCATAAAGTTGTTATGTGTCTAGTATACCTTGTTTTGTGGTGGTGTTAACATGAAAAAAAAAAAAAAAACGTTCTTAGAAACGAACTTCAYTATTTCTTGTTTATTTTCATATCCCAAGTGGGTTAAAAATCATTGTGCCACGTTTGGTATAATTGAATGATAATATATGAATAGAAACCTTTTTATCGCCCTCAATCAATAAGAAATGAAACTCCTTCAGTCTCTCCTTCTCTCTGTTCTCTCCGTAAACGTCTCGGGAGAACAGAGAATTGAATAGTGATATTATATCAGTGAAATTCGAAAATGTCTTTTAAAACATAAGTGCAAGATTTCTTATAAAGTTAATCTTAGGCGTCCTSTCTTTGTTTATGGTGAAATCGAACGACCTGCTGTGCAGGAGMCAGGTGKGGGACGATGGCATAAAATGGTCACAATAGATTTTGATACGTGAACGTGATGACCTTCCGTTTTTGTTTTTTTGTTTTTTTCTACTTCATCTGATAGTTTTATTGTTGCTGCCTGTYTTGACCGATCCAGCTGCTCCAGCGTACGTTTTTGTAAAAAAAATCTAAATACTGGGCAATAAACTGTACTACTTCGGCTGCTAGTAAAGCGACTCTTAGTAATGTTCCTTTGGTAAATCTACCGCCACAAACAGACACGGCTGATTCTTCGGCTGTTTGGAGTTGAAGGATTCAACTTGTTTATTTCTTCCTCAATTTCAGAAGTTGTAACTAGGTTAAATGGCAGAATGTCGGCTCTTCGAGTTAGCATACTGTCAACTGGACAAAGGTGTGCGGCGGCGATATTGCCAACGTTCATTAAAAAAAACATTAAAAGTATTTGCCATTTTGTTTGCAATTTGTTAGCTCAACATGTATCAGACCCTGTCCTAATTGGAATGGCTTGTGGTTTGTTAACAAAGACTTATAAGTCAAGTTTGGGAAGATGGACGTTTACTTTAAAAACCAATTCAGGATAACGTGAAAATGTAATGGATCTTGAATGGAAAGAAAAGGAAGTTTGRTAGGAAGCAACGGTTTCATATTTAGCTTTAATTTAATAGTAATAACTAGTTTTAATACTGCATCAAGTTTACGGAATAAGAGATGTAATATAAGACTGGACGCTGAAACAACATTTTCTTATAGAACTTTCTATCTCCGTTAMTGACGTTTCAAAAGYGCACGSCAARCAAACTGAGTTCCTTGTTTGTCTATTTTGAAAGTTCGTTTCACTATTCKTGAGATTTCGAGTTGAAACACGTTTCAGTTCTAGATTTTAGTGGTGRATAAGACAATTCTTCTACTATTATGAGTAACACTAATAGCCTGAACGCCATCAAGTGAACATGTCGCTCAAAATCGRTGTGATWGTACTGCTCGGGTATCTTGTCCTTGTGACGGCAAGTGTCCGTYTTGCTGYAGGGCAAGGTAAGYAAACAAACGGCCGTTCTCAAATAATCAATCCAGTTATTCGCTTGATTAGCAAAAGTAAAAGACACTGTCATTATTGTTTAATTAAATCTAATATAAAACAGTCTACGTACATCGCGCACGTCGCGTTTCATACTCTAAATACGTACAGAAAAACGTACAGGAGTACACCAYACGCGTTGTAGAACCCGCAATTGCTGTKCTTTRSTCSAAAGGTTGAAAGTACTAGAAATATCAACTCAAAAACATTTGTTTTCATTTTTGTAGACGATGCCGAGAATCCTAATGAAAAGGTATGCTATTCTTTCTTTTCCTTTTTTTCATCCATTATCTCATCTTTGTCACCTTTCTAATTATTACGCAGCGTGGGGTCGGCACTTGCATTAAACTTCCTCAGGGCCCACCCGGTCCTCCTGGTCCCCGTGGTCCCCCTGGCCCTCCCGGAAGTCCTGCTCCAAAACCAGGATATCATTGCGTATCGAGAAGSACTAGCGGTAARAGATCACAGTGCCCMAAAGGATATTTTGCCACGGGTTGTGCGTGCGGTRATAGATGCGGTTCGTGGAACCTCGAGAACCACGGTACACGATGCTATTGCCACATTGGCTGTATGAATGGTAACAGACCTCTGGACTGGACTCTTGCAGTCTGCTGCAAAGTCGCATGAAATAGAAATCGGGTCCATATTGTTTAAATGCCCACGAAAACAAGATGTAGTTAACTTGCAATCATGTCAACTATTTAGATTTTTAGGTAAAAAAGTAAAAAGTGTGTAGTTTTCATTGGCTAACTCTATTAAAATGTAATTGTGCATTCCGCCTTGTTGTATGCTTTTCTGATTTATTTATTTAGTTTATTTGTTTATTTATTCATTTCCCATGCATGCGCGTGTTGATAATGTACAAAAAAACACTCTGAAGTAACATGTTATTTTCACATGTGAAAGATATCAGGACTTTTGGACTGCAGTCCTCATTGAGAACGGCACTAGCACAAACCACAGAACTGGACTCCTGCAGTCTGTTGCAGACTCCCTTCAAAGAGATCTCGGGATCGTGAAGAACACTACTAACTCCCCGCGGAAAATTCACTCAGGACACTGTAGCCGTGGTAACAATACTAAACCTTTCGTTAAAATTAGTCATAGTAGCCATAGAGCAAACTACATAGTTGAGCATGCGGCTCGGTTTAACTGATTTTTTCTTTTCAAATATTCAAATACATTATTGTCAAGTTAACTACTCCATTTTCTTTTACACTTTTTAAAAATTACTGAATAATCACAAAAACTTAATCAAAATGCTGGTTTTATTTACAGTATTTGACGGGTCATTCACTCGTTATTCTACACAAAATAAATACGTATTAAGGTAATTATAGCATCATTATTGCTAGTCTCAACGATTGTCGCCGCTTCTCCGACTTGAAGAACTTCCAACACGGGATGATCCGCGGGATCCCGCCGAGTCGGGTCTGCCGGGCTTTTTGCCACGTGCACTACTCGTCGGTGAAACTCCTAAAAACGATGTTCTCAGAATTAGATTAATCATCGATTTTGTTTATTCGGCATTCTTAATAAAATGTCCCATTCATTCATTCATCCCATCCATTCCGTTCATTCATTCATCCATTCAGATAGAGTGGTTCTCATCAACCCGTGAAATATGTACATGAATTAGACTAACACAACTTAGTCAGTCCCTAATTCCACTGTGTCTATTGAACTACTATCGAGTAATACGTTTTTCATGGGTTTAATATTTTCACTCTATCCCATCCATCCATTATTGCATTCACTTGCTACTGCAGTCGAACCTCTATAAACGGCCCTCTATTTACGGCCACCCTCCATTAAGCGGTCATTCATCTCCAAAAGTCGATTCTGTRATGCAACCCTATTCTATCCCAAAGGTTCYCCTATACATGCTCTTTTACCTGGTTTYGGACTAGCAGAACCAGTGATTGCTAAACCACCGATATTTACAGTACCAACTCCTCGTCGACTTCCAGTTGACATGTCAGATCTAATAAACAATACAATGGTTATTACACATCACTGGTATCATTACCACCTTTGTCATCGTTATCATCATCATCSTTCTGATTACRTTTCGTCAAAACCGTTAACACCATATTTTGGAGTTTTTCAGTAGAGTCATTTTCATCCGTCTGTGAAACAATTACTATTACTACTAGGAAGTGTTTAATAGTAACTTATAGGGTGTTTAAACCGTGTTAACTTAAACTATTGGGAGCTAATAGGCCTTTTGCATGAAACGGTCACGTGGTACTAAATCCGCCATACTATATGGCAAAATACCCACTGGGATGTGCAAAACAAAGAAAAGTCAAGCTTGACAGGCTGCATTCCTTTTGTTTTTGAGGTTGTTTACATTCTTTTGCCATCCACAGTTTGGTGGATTTTGTACCATGTGACCGTTTCATGCAAAAGGCCTATTGGGGCTAATAGTARTTAATAGTTACAATTCCTATTTCACAGACGGATGAAAATGACTCTAATCAATGCARACCTTGCTGAAGAAAGCGAGCCAGACGAACGTGAACTTCTCGATGACGTCCTTGAAGTATCGGGTCCTGGTGATGGCGGCATAGGTAACCCYGCCTGACTAAAGTACATGTGTACACTCGGTGTTAAATCAGAGTTGCTATGTAYCACTTCACCCATCTGTTTGATCACACGTGTGTTAAACTCTCTTAACTGACGTACATCCATGTCTTTCTCCTCGTGTAATTCACCGCGACTCTTRTTGGCGCTTCGAATATCACGAGCCATCTTCGARACTTGACGCCCTGCTCGGTCTTTCTTAGACTTTTGGTCATCGAGCTCTTTCTGAAGGTTTGTGACTTTGGCTTGTTTTTCATCTATTACCTCGACAAATCCTTGTTCGTCACTTTGCAGCTTGTCTAGGGTAGTCTGCATAGCACCTAAGTCTTCTTGCAATTCGCGTATTTGTCGGCGTTTGTATTTGTATTTATCCATGACAGCGCGCATTTGTTCTTCAAGTTGTTGCTTTTGTTCAAACTCTTCGCTCGTTTCGTTGACTTTGTTGAAACTCTTTCGATATGTTTCYTTTCGACTGTTCATAAGTCTCAYTGTGTTCTCGAGCGCTCTGTTGAACAATGAAGAATGTTTAAATGGAACTCCAAATACAATAACATGGGAGAACTGTACAGGAAGATAGAACAAGCAAGTAGGAGATACTTCTAATATAGGAAGGTACAGAACCGAGTAAACAGACACTGCTAAAAAGTAAATTGTCTGAGTCAATCTATCGTATTTACCTTATTTCTTTTTCTGCTTTTCGTATCTTCGCATCAAGATCGTCTCCGGCTCGTTGTAGTTCTTCTTTTTCTTGCGCTGCTTTAATGACGTAATAGGCTTGCGACCTCTCCTCTTCACCCTCTGGAGGTGCCATGGAAACCATAAGTATTTCATATCTATGGAAACAACAGCACTATCAATAACTGGAAAAACAGTGCATACGGTCACGATCACAGTAATGAAATCATGAACAATTTTGTGTTTTAAGGTGTGGTCCTCCCGGCCACGCAGCTTCATTACTACATCTAATTCTGGTTGACGCGGTAATTTTTACTCAAATTTCTGTAAAGTTTCCGCCATTCCACTTCAGCTTAGTTTCCCGACTAAAAGCTAACCAATCACGGCCGGTTTTTACGCAAGATGGAACAAATGGAATGCAAGKTCTTACCGTTTGCGAAGTTTTTCGATCTTGGAAATTCTCTCCTGAAGCTCAGCGCTATAAAGAACACATTGTCATTTAAAAAGTCAGCAACATCTTTAACTACATTCTACTCACAGCAGTAACACCACGAACTAGCAACAGCAATAAATGAATACAGAATGYYGGGAAATATCTAACCTAACAGTTTGGCGRTCCTCRTCTGCTCCCTTGATTTGGGCTTGTAACATGTCTTTGTGGATGTTTATCTCATGCCGTCGTTCTTTCATCGACTAAACAATACAATGAATGGACGAATAAAGAAGTGATTGTCAAGTAACAAACCAAAAAAAACTGAACACAAACAAAAGAGAAAAAGAGTACTTACAGTCTCTAGTTGGAGTTTTCGGGCTTCAAGACTTAAAACTGTATCAGCCTTCTTGCTCAATGTTGTCCTTAACCGTTTAATTTCCAGTTTTAAAATATTCTCGTCGACCATTAGGTCCTACAAACAAACGAAAAACTCCTTGACTGACCTACGCTAGGCAAACTGCTACCATATATTCTAAAAAGGCCTGTCAATGTCACTATACATTTATACAAAGTTGTTTTTCGTATATGCCTTAGCGCTTAATGTCAGTTACCTGTTTTGCTCCAATAATTTTTCTTCGTTCTCGCTCTGCACTGTCATTATGAAGATTTAATTCGTCTGTCAAGAGAGAAAAGACATGTTATTCAGGTTGACTAGTCATGTTTAACAATTGATGACGATGATGATAATATTGTTAATTATAGTCATTATGGTGCTGATGCAGTGATGACCGCACAGCTAATGATTGATACATTCATACACCAGAGATTTACAGGTGGGCGGGACAGTTTTGACCTACATACCTATCTTTGTAGTCAATGTTCCAAGTTCCTCTTTACCCTTGTTTAGATCCCTGTTAGCACGCCGTAAATCATCCTYTACAGAAACTGAATGGTTAGATTGACTACTACCACACCACCTACACGTAGTATTGACTTACGTTAAGATTCTTCATCTGAGCACTAAGMATAGAGTGAGTGTTGTTGTGTTCGTCTAACTGATTGGTCAGCTCCTGAGAAAAGAAATGAAAAAGAAAGTTACASAAAGGGACAAATCTATTGTCATTCCTATGGAAATCACTAGAGCATGGCAAATAATCTCATCCGCGATTCTGAACCAAACGATATCGTTTTTATGTAACATGTGATCGTTTCTACTTCTAGCCAATCATTTCATTCAAAAACTGGTCATGTGGTAAGAAAGACGCACCGTTATTGCAAAGTTTTGAGAAGACGTTTTACCACTCTAGTGACTTCCATAGTACTGAACTTCGATCTGGGTCGGGTTGTTCAAAGCCGATTGGTGTTAATGCTAGGTAAGGGTAAGAGTAAACCCTGAATTAACACTAATCGGCCATCCTAATCACGCTTTGATCAGCCCCGCTAGGATTATGCTACTCACTTGTACTTTGGCTTCAAGGTGAAGTTTTTCCTCATTGCTTCGCTCTCCTTGAAGACGGTTGATTCTACGTTCAAGCTGTTGTAATTGGAAGTCCTTGGGAAAAGAAAGAGCTCATTAGATTGCAACACWACAAAAATTGCAAAGCATCAATCCTAATATAGTCTCACTCACATAATAAACATTCTCACCTGCATATAGATAATTTCTTGCTGTTTAAGGGATTCTTCGTCTAGCTTGTGAAGTTTACTGCTAAGGTTGCGACTAGCTGCTCTTGATCCCTAAGTAAAAAGTCAGTAAATTAAAATCATTTTCAATTTTTTCATCACTAGCATCACTTTTGTAACATCCACAATATTTTGGGAGCATAGTCACCTGTATTTCTGCACTTGTGTTTTTCTCTGAGACTTTACAGCCATGTAATTCCTCTGTCTTCTTAAACTGTGTTTCCCGTAGCCTGCTGAGTAGCTGTTCAACTGAGTGGATTTTGGCCTCTTCTTCTTTGAGTAAAGCATCCATCATTTGAGCTCGTTCTTCYGCAGACAATGTTTCATCGGAGGCAATTTTTAGTTGTTCCATTAYATCATTGCGATCTTTTTGTGCCTTTTCTAATCTAAATGATTATTGAGAATCAGTGTGAGTGAATAATACTAGCACAGGCTACTTTTTAGGAAACAGAAAACAAATTGCTGCCAATTAATGAGAAGCAGTGGAATGATGATGATGAAGATGGGATTCATTCATGGAGATAGAGTCAAATGATTTGTTATGCAAACCATATGTTTTTACCTTTCAAGTCTGSTAAGAGCTTCCTTTTTGAGCAATGCTCCCTTCTGTCTTGTAGCTTCCAAATCTTTAGCTGTTCTATCCACAGTGTACTTTAAAGAGTTCAACTGCAAACAATCATAAATGTCAAGGATTGTTTTTACATAAACAATGACAATCTTAGATCTATTGTTAACCTCATACCTCATCTTGAAATTGAATTCTGTTRTTCTCAGCATCTTGATATTCAAGRCTCAGCTTTGCTGCAAACCTTTCTGCAGCACCRACTTTTTTCTCTTTTTCTTGGTTGTTGTCTAGCTCATTTTCCAGGAATTTCTAAACAATCAATCAATCCATTAATGATCAATCAATCAACCAAATCAATCATTCTACCCAACCACTTGACCCTTAATATTTCTTAAAATAACACTGTCAATCATGAAGTCAACTGAATCGAACCTGTTTTTCAAGTATTTGCTGTTCTTTGTCTCGGACTTCTAGTTTCACTTCYGCAAGTTTCTACATAAGATGAAGAAGTTCATTCTTATTATAATCTGTAACTTTTAATATTAAATTAAATTAAGCCATTTTTGTCTTTGAAAAAATAATTACTACTTAAGTTGTAACTTGCATATAGAGTGAAGAATACTTACTACAGCAAGAGAGTCCATTTCCCTGTCTCTTTTCTGCATTTGTTCAATAGTATTCTCCCATTGTTTCAGAAGCTCTTGTCTYTCAGAGTGAGCCGTGCGGAATTCTTCTGCAGTCTTGTCAAGTTCAATCTGAGATAAACAAGTAAAAGAATGCAAAAAAGTGAGTTTTTAGACACAAATTTTCTGTCTGATTTTATCAATTAAATTTCTTTACCTGTGCAGTCATTGTTTGTGTTAGCTCATGTTCTAAAGCTTTCCTTTTCTTGGCAGCATCATCTGTCATTTTTTCCATTCTCAATGATAGCTCCTGCAAAGTTCATTGAAACATAACATGTATCAATTAGCAGTTTGCTACTTCAAACAGATAAATTAATGAAAAAAAAAGAAAAACACTAAAAAATCACAAATAGACTTTTAAGTCTAAAAACATCCAAAGACAAAAACAAACAAATAAGATGTGATATATTTTTCAATTTGTGAAATCAAATCAATCAAATGAAATATTTTTAGTACATGAATAATGAAAAAATGGGGAATGAGATAAAAGTCATAATTCAATATCATTACCTTTATTTTACCCTCATCAGAACGAGTGTATTTTTGTAATGTCAACGAATCTTCATCTTTACGAGCAGACTCCTCTAGCCAAGCTTCCAGTGCTTTTTGGTCCCAATTCATTTGTGATTTWAGATCTTCCAATTTTTGTGTAGTTTTGAAGATATTATTCTTGGGATATCAAGAATTAAGTTTATTAGTTAGTTAAAAATATGCTGACATAAAATACTGTCTTCTCTGTAAGTCTCCATAAAGATTACATTGAATGGACTTCCTAGTACCTCATAAATATTTCTCCTTTCTTTGAGTTCATTGATTTCATTTGATAAGCGTTTAATTTCATTTTTCAGTCTGCCTTCCTCTCTTTCAGCTAAAAAAAGTAGAAAAAATCAATATTATCTTATRAGGGAGAATACATTCTTTCCATTATTTTTATTAGTGGGTTTGTATGAGAGTTAGTAAACATACCAACTTGTCGAAAGTGCTTTTCTGTATCAATTTCCTTTTTCCTTGCATTCAATATATCCTGAAACCACAACAAAAAGAAGGTACTGTATAGTCCCACAATYAGATGAAAACATCATGCAAAAAATCACTAATGATATGTGAAATCTTACTTGTGTATGTTGAAGTTCTTGTTGAACATTCTTGAAATGTTCACTCATAGCATAAATTCTGTCTTTGTGTTCATCAACTTGGTCTTTGAGAACCTCTATATTTTTTTGGACACCATCAACCTGAGGTACGAAAACACAGATTCTTGATAAGACTGGTGCATGTAGTGCAATCAAATTATGAAACATAATTTGTCACTAGGACAATGCGTTATGTATAGCCATTTGTTACAATTTACGGTCTCCCAATATACCAACTTTGTCTAATTCAAATCAGTCAGTTTATACTCATGTTTACCTCGGATTCTAGCTGCTTGTTTTCGGCATTTGCTACTGGCATTGCGATACCCTCATCAAAGTTCATATCACTCAGAATTTCATCCATTTTGACAGTCTCCAAAAAGACGACAAGTAATAACTCAAAAATACACTAAAAATAAAAGTGATCAATTCAAATAATGCTAAAGAAACTTTTCTAGCTTTGGAGCTCGCGAAATAGCGAATGAGGTCTTATAAAATGATGAATTTACGGCGAGTTTCTCGGTAAGAAAACTCTGCATTGAACTCTTGTTGTTGTGGAAACGACAATCAAAACAACAAGTCCCGGATGACTTTGAGCCCGCGCTACACTCACGCAGCGCTTCTTTTGRACTCGTGTTACAGTKACGAAAAACATGTGAAGAAGCTGGAAGACATCATAGAATAGATTACTAGTAATTTTACCACAACTTTTATATATTTTGCTATATTTCGCTATTGTTCAGTACTTCATTTGTGCCTAAAATGACTCGACTGAGATCAAGAAGGAATCTTGAAAGTGAAAGCAAAAAACCTGAGAGTGAAGACGAAGCTGCAATAGATTCTACTGATAAGCTTACTGATATGCATGCTGACGAAAAGACACAAAAGGATTCATCAAACCCGTCTGATGAGTCTGAGGATGAAGCACCAGAAAGTATATCTTTAACCACAAGTAAGGACGCTGCMATTGCTCAAAGACACGAAGAAAAGGCAGCCATTGATTCTCTTAAGGAGAAAGAAAAACAGAGGCGCKGGAACAAGGACGAAATTCTAAGGAAGCAAAAGGAAATGCGTTTAAGTCGTGAAAATTCACGAATTTCAGACGATATTTTGCTTAAGGTGYCAGAAAAACAAAATCAGGTTGCTAAGGAACAAGAAACTGCAAAGCTGGCAAAGCCAAATGTTCATATGAACTTTGATTATGAGGATGATGATGATGATGATACTGCAGATGATTGCAACACTGTAAATGAGGATCCACATCAAGGTTTACAGCTAGTAGTGTTAAACCAGAGTAAGAAGAGAAAAAGAGGAGTACTTGACTCTGCCAATTCTTTTCTCAATAATCATTTCTATGGTGATAGGCTTAAGAGAGTTGATACTTTGAATGATGAAAACAGAAAACGAAAGAAGAGATATTTTGGACCAGCAATCAAGTTCTCCAAAACATCATAATGTACWTAAACTTGCTAACAAAGAAAAAAYGSKAAWTMMT